AACCTACGTGTGTTCTATTCTAAATTAAATATCGCAGATGTCACGACATAACAGTCTAATTTCATCTTCACAATCCCGTCGATATGGATATTAAGTACAAAACGCTCGGAAAGTAGTTATATAGATAGAAGATATTTTTTTTATCCATAAGCTACAAGAGTCACATGATACAGATAATCAAAAATGAAAAAAAAAAAAAAAAAAACAGCCACGCCCACGCAACAATGTAGAATATGAAAATTTCTGTTTTTTTTTTTTTCGTTTGTTCTGCATCTTTCTTAGGATGACGGTGATGATGATAGAAAAGATGAGATCGCGTCCGAATATAGTTATCTTATTTGTTTTTATTTCTTAAATGCACTTTTATTACATTTGTCATGATAATATAATTTAGAATAGATTCTTAGTGCAATTTATCTATAAATATGCTTAAAACTGGCATTAAAATTATTATGTGGCTGTGTAGTATGGAATTTCTTCTCTGGCTTTTATTGATTTTTTTCGATTATGATTTACAAAAAAAAAAAAAAAAAAAAAAAAAATGCAATAAATTTTCTAACGATCGTTGGAAACGTACGTATGGTGTTAATTGAATTAAATTTTTTGCTTTTTTTTTTTATTTAAATTTGATTTTTTTTATCTCTCTTTACCACACAGCCCTCGCTAAATTATGAATCATTCTCTAACATTATGAAATCAGTTGTTAATACCGATAGGAATTCCTTTCTCCTGAAAAAAAAAAAAAAAAAAAAATATATATATATATATATATATATATTGCATTACAAACGATATAAGAGCGGATGAGATTTAATTCCATCACATTGCTGCAAATGTGAATCTGTTAAGCGATATTTTCAAAGTTCCGCCCATAGTAACGATAAGAAAAAAAAAAGAAAAGGCTTCTTGTTCTTGTCCTATGTTCTAGGCGCTTCAACAGTTTACTCAAATTTTTAATATCCATCGAAAGCTTAGGATGTGAACGGGTAAACTGTTACCCTTTGATTATATTTGAAATAAAATACTAGAAAATATCGAAATCATATTATCAAGGGTTACAAGATGTTAACAAATTCGCAGCCTAAAGGAACAAACCCTAATGTAAAAACTGAATACCTATAATTATTTTTTACTCTTAAAAAACTTTGATAACAAATGTATTAAGTTAATGGATTGATTGGATGCAATTTATGTAAAGCTTAGTGCAACCTTTCGATGATTTTAATTCAAAATTGATGGGTTTCCTCTGCAGATATAATCGCTGACTGGTTTAATATTTCGAAGACAACGATATTGTATATAAACGGACATATAAACACGATATTAGATAAAGAGACTGTATTGCTGTTATAAGCCTCCAGAGAGAGAGAGAGAAAGTGAAAGATAGGAAGAAAGAGAAAGATAGAGAGAGAGAGAGATGTGATTTATATTTTCCAACGATAACGAACAGACGGATTGAACAACAACAAGACAAAATGACAAATTCATCTTACACCACCTACTCGCCAATTATAGGTAAGGGAATGCTCGATAGTCATTCATTCACTTCCTAATCATAAAACGATTGGTCAGATTGAAGCGATTAAAACGCTTAGATCGCAACTTTGATATGATTATTAATATTTCATAACTATGATCATATGATGAAAACAAAAGTTATCATCTCGATATTGTACTAAGCTAGTGCTATGAACAAAAAAAAAAAAAGAAGAAAATTATTCAAGTGTACAAATAGATTAATTCCACTGAAATTGGTTGCTTCATAAAGCATACCGGTCGCGTTCAATTTCCTCGACAAATCAAATATAGACAATTTAGATATTGATGGTTAAACGATGTCAGTTCAAGTTATTTATAAGCGTATTTCTTTCAGTGTATATGTATATTCAGTTTAACAAGTACTCGGTTTTGCTATGTTTTTAATAAAATGAATTAATCTGGCAAGAAAATGCCGCCAAGGCTTGCAGTGAAAATGCAATAAGCAACGAAACCGTTAGAAACTTGTTTGCGTTATAATGATAAAAATTTGCATAATCCCGTCCGTCCACCCTTTAGCAAAAACAACTCAGAAAATGATTTTGAATTTGGACGCTAGGCGAAGTTATACCGCATTCTGCGATAATTTACAGACGGACAATCTCCTTGCGATTAGTACTTATTCAGAATTATGCAATTGCCAGCACCTTTGCCGAATTGAAAATGTGACAAAATGAATCGACGCCTATTTCGCTAAATATCCGCTAAATAGCGAAAGACAATTGAAAATTTCATAAATTTCATGGAATGAATTTATTTGTACACTTATTAATTAAAAAAAAAAAATAAAAAAAATAAAATAAAATAAAAACTTTGGAAACCTTTGCAAGATATGTAGTTTGTGAAATTTCTATCTACTTTTTTTCACAAGCAACATTACGCTATTACCTTAGAAATTTTTGACTCTGCAAGCATACACAACTTTTTTACTTTACTTTCTTTAGATATTAAAACATATACATAAAACATGTATGTTATATTTATAAAAAAAAAAAAAAAAAAAAAAATTTGCATTATTCTTAGACATATAGACATAGAGCGGTAGGCCAGTCGAAAATGAAAAAAACGAAAAAAAACATTTTTTTTTTTTTTGCGCATTTTACAAATTTCATAACAAATTCATTCCATTTCAGCTTTCATATTCATACATAATTGAGAAAGTGTTGGGATTACACTAGTTTGGATTCATCGAGCCCATTATTCACATATGAGCGATCGGCAAATTGTGAGAAGTTGTTGTAAGCCGTTATAAGCAAAATTCAAATTTTATATCTATTATTATGTGATTGAATGAGTGAAAGTGATCTGTCTGCCTGTCTATCACCCATATGCTCCAAGTTCGAATTGAATGAAGAAAGAAAAAGAGTTTCGCTAAATTCATTCATTCTTCAGAATTGATGATATTAGCACATAAAAAAAATCATTCTTGAGTTGAGTTTTCATTGAATCAGCGAATGCACAAAACGTTCGATTAGGGCAGGGGAGGAGGAATTGATGGCGGAATTAAAAGTTTATGCGTCGGTTGATTACATTATGTAAAATAATTGTAATTGTTTTTTTTGTTTTCTTTTAATTAATTATTATAAATTTTTACTTTTTTTTTTTCGATTGGTGTTGTTGAGATTTATGTTTTTTTGTTTTAGTTTTGCTGTCATTCATGTTTCGCCTGTCCTGACGGATGATGTATAAAACCAAAAATTGTCATTCATTCAGGGTGTTCGATTCTGTTTTCATCATTTTCATAAATAAATATTATGTATCTTTATTATTATTATTATTATTATTATTAATTAATAATTTTTATGATTTTGAGAGGTTTATTGTTGTTATTGTAGGCGTTTTTGAATGAGGGCATGCTTTAGAGGTGTCAGTTATACACATGTGTAGATTGTTGTTGTTCTTATTATTGTTGTTGTTATTGTTGTCATTTTTTTTACTTTTTATATCTAATGTATATATATATATATATATATATATATATATATCTTGAGTGTTCCAAGATGAAGCGAATGTTTAAAATATATTGTTTCAATTGAAGAGAATGAATACAAGCAGAAGTCAGGGTCGACCGTTCATTTATCAGATATTTCATATTAGGCATTATGTTGTAATTTAATGCTCCTTTCAAATATAGCAACAAATCCTATGTCCGAAAATATGGTTTACATTTTACCGGATTATATGCAAATGATTTAACAATATCAATCAATTCATGAAATAATTCAAAATAACAAAATTGATTTCTATTTTGTATTGTTTTGTTTTTTGTTTTTGTCACGCAACAGATTCCCTAAAAATGATTGTTACATGACTGACGACAAGCAAGACAACAACATTATAGTATTCTATTGTGTGTGTGTGTGACTGTGTGTGTGTGTGTGTGACTGTGTGTGTGTGTGTATTTGTGTGCTTTATTTTCCTTACGCTGCAACAGTTTGTTTGAAGTGTACCATACTAAACTGATTGAAGCATCATTTGCATGACCCACGAGAATCGCATTATCTTTGTTTACAATAAAAAATTATTTTCACTTCATTTGATATATTTACTATTAGTTGTAAATATAACGAATCCAAAATAATGGTATGTTGGTTGAAATTATTTAATTCCCTACGATACGTAAGCCATATTATCGGACCAAGGGAATATGTTAATTATTATAACCAAGAAATTTTTTATATATATAAAAAAAAAAACAAAAAAAAAAAAGCCAAATGTCAATTCAGTTTGGTACACCCTCTATACATACGTATATATTGTTTATATATATATATTTATATATAAACATATATATATATATATATATATATATATATCTATTGTGTAAGCATACATTTATATATTATAAAAAATACTCTGTTTTGTTTTTGTTTTTATTTTTGTCATCTGTTAATATTTACTGTTGCATTTATTTACGATTTTTAATTTTCTCTTAATTTCATTATTATTATTTTTAAATTTTTTTTTTTGTTTTTCTTTAACTTAATGAGTTTCTTATGCTTGAACCGATTAGAGTTTACTTTCCTTTTTCTTTACTTCTTTTCTTCTTTCTTCTGTTTTCTACTTTGTGAACTTAAAGTTCTGACTCTATATCGGCTTTTACATACACATCTATACGTACATATATATATATACGTTATATTTGTGTCTGTGTGAATGTATGTATATGACTGCTACAATACATTACTACATTATTTTGTAACTTCTCCTCCCTCCTTCACTACTAATGTTATAATCATTTTTTTTTTTTTTTTTTATTTTTCCTTTCCTTCTTTCCTTTTTTAAATATTCTTATGACCTTGTTTCATATGTATGTTACTTTTAACTACGTCTACAACTACAGTTTTTTTTCTTTTTTTTTCAAGTTTTCTCTTAATTAATTTTTTTTGTTTTTTTTTTTTGTTTTTTATTTTTTTATTTATTTTATGTATTTAACGTTATTAACAAAATCATAATAAAATTAGTTTTTTTTTTTTTGTATTTTTTGTGAAAAAAAAAAATAAACAGACAGATTTAACTGAACTTTGGTAAAAAAACTTAAAAAAAAAATCGGTGCAAAAGAAATGAATATGAAATTATTATTGAGTGATAGCTATTATCACAACAACAACAACAACAAACAAAATTGCACCTACCGAAACGCGTAGAACACACAGTACGGAATTTTTATATCCATCACCAAACCATAAGAGTTTACCGTTACTGCTATTCATGTTAAAAGTCGCAAAAATACGCACCGAACACCCAAAGCTAATTATGAACATCGCATCGCGATCGTTTAAATCATATTTGGCATTCTCCGTTCGTTGTAGGCAAACCCTCCCAGTCGCATCAGTTGTCTTAGGGCAATTACCGCAAGTCAGATTTTAAAATATTCTTTTTTTCCCCTTTCCTAAAAACAAAATATAAAAAAAAAAAATAAAAATAAAAAAAAAAAAAAGATATAACTAAAAATTTCAATATATTTTTAAATGATAACTTACAATTTGCGGCGGATATCGTTCAGTAACTTCACGCAAATCTTGTTATTAAATCGATTTCAAAAATTGATGTCTGAAATTTGAGATTTTCTTTCGCACTTTCGCAGCTATGGCCGTCGATGTGAAGATAGCAAAAAGTTTCATGTTCATCTTAAGGATATTTCGATGCGTATTTTTCGAATTTTTACCAGCAAGAACAGAAAACATTTTAGTTCACTTATATGCTTATCCTGAGTTATATTGAACGTATACCATCAAAATTTTCACGATCAGTACAATAACAAGCAAGTTGAGATTTCTTCATCTAAAATTCTATTCTCTCTAATGCGAAATACTAAAAAATTTTATCAAGAATTTTTTCTCATCTAAAAAAAAAAAAACACATTGAAATTTTTAGGAGATTATATAGACGAATATAGATATGAAATTAAACTATATGCGATACGATTTCATATTTTTTGCATAATGAAAAGTCCAGAAATCAATAAGTACTTGACCCGATTCAAAAATTATGATTCGTATCGTAATATATAATACAAAGATATAGATCAGGGCTTAACTATATTTCGAAAAGAAACGACCCATAAACGATCATAAGTGAAATTGAAGGAGAACGGACAACGTATTATGACTTTGGCATTTGGCACGATCAACGCATACACAATCAATACTCAAATGCCAAAAAAATATTTTTGTTTATAACTTTGATTGAAACTAACTTGATGTCCATTTGAGAATGTTAGCTAAGCAAGCGGAATTAAGCCTATCGAGCGGTCAAGACGAGCTAAAGCAAATATTTTTGAATCTATTGGATGCAAACTGGCAAAGACGAGAAACAATCCGAGATGTGAATACAATTTTAAAATTTTAACCGGTTAAGCAGTTTATAATGAATATATATGTCATGATCGGTCTATCCGTCCTTTATAGTCAGATTTTCTTATAAAATTTTATTACTCTGAATGATTTTAGAATGTGTGTTTGTCACATTTTGTGAATATATTTCCATTATAAAACCTAATTGCTTATTACATGCATAAATTGTATTTGACGAGTATACTCGTCATTATGACGCAACTTAAATGCACATTATCCGAAGAGATCGATGCAGTTAGCTGGTTAAATGCTTTTCATTCGCAATTACGCCAATCCTACTATACTGAACGGGCTTTTTTTAATTTCCTCCGATTAGCTGCTTGAGATTAAAGTGCACCTACAAAATAAGACTTTTTGGGAATCAAATAATATCAATAATGCCGACAATGTGCACAATTCTGAAGAGATTTCCTCAAAAAAAAAAAAAAAAAAAAAAAAAAAAAAAAAAAAAAAACCACCACGGTTTGTACTATGTTCTAGAATAATTTGTGCAGAACTATGATCTATCATCACGAGTCGACTTTATTTGAAATGGAATTTTTTTTTTTTTTTTTTTTATATACTTTCACTCGCATTTTTACTCGCAAAGCAAGAAATTTTTTACCCTTCTTTTAATATAAATTTAAAAAATAATTATCTTATTTTTTGAGTCATATATAAGGTGATCTTAACTTTAAGATATTAAGAATTATAGTTATCGTCGTCGTCGTCGAGCGCCTTTTTGTCGAAAAATATACTTTTCCTTATTCATATGTGCTCGTAAGAAAGTTGTATACATATATCGTAGAGAAAAAAAAAAAAAAAAAACAGGATGTCTAAGACAAAGATTCTCCCGTCCTACCACCATCTTCACCCAGTCCCAACATAATCAATTTGAATGCAAACACTTTGATATTCTAGCGTCATAAGTGTGATTCGAAAAAAATAAATAAATAAATAAATAAATAAATAAATAAAAATAAAACCAAAAAAATTTAATAATATTTCGCATTTGAGGTTAAGAAAAGCTATAAAATGATAAAGAAATGCTTTCGAAGCTTGTAAATTATTTAAAATTAACACCTTGATCATAGCACATACAATATATAGGAATGTGAAGCGTCTTATTGGTTTCTCTCTCTCTCTCTCTCTCTCTCTTGTGATAATTAAACTTTCAATAAACTTCAACAAAATTTTGCGTGCTAAATATAAGCTTTTCGATTAATTTAGATAGATTTAGTTAAGAAAATGTTTAGTCAATAAGAGATTTTATAAATATAAATATAATTTTTAAAATCAAGATATATATGTATAATCATTGTAATGAATGCGAGAACTTTTTTTAATTATTTATTATAAAATTTATTTAAAACCTTATTTTCCTTTAAATTTCTTTAAAGCTAAATATATATTATTATTATTATTATTATTATTATTATCATTATTTTTATAATGCCTATGGATTTACCCAAAAACTCAATGAATAAATATTAATTTGAAGAAAGAGAAATGAATGAGAGAAAATAGTTTTAATTTCTTCAGATAGTTTTGAATGGATATTTAATGAATTTGGTCAGTATGTACAGAGATTTGGAAGAAATTAGAGAGCAGTCAAGACATTAAAAACTCGTTCGAAGGGTGTATACTTGAAATTTTTAATTAATTCGCATTTGTATACCGTGTAATATATTAGTATAGGGTGTCTCTTCATATAAAAGGCGCCATTTTTTCAATTCTCATTGTATGGCATTTTTGTTTATTCTAATCCATTCGCCAATTGATTGCTGGAAATACATGATCATCATTATTGTTTAAGCGAAGGAATCATTTTAATATATCGGGCTTACGTACGAAAAATAAATATGTCGCATATGTAAGTCCGTAAAGTTAAAAAAAAATAAAATAACCATAAAGAAACTTTTAATGGGCATATCTGATCGTGTCATACTATTGGAACTATGCTGCTGATTGGCTTTTTTTTCTTTGGCCTGAAATTAATGCTACGATACGATTTACGTTAATATGACGTCTATGTTCAGCAGGATGACACACCACTTGACACATACCTAGTGGCTCTTTAAAAATGATATTTTTTGTTGAAACACCCTACATATAATCAAATGGAAACATTTATTATATTATCTCGCCAAATTATCAAGGAATATTTGTTAATAATTCGTTTCGCTTTAGAGCGAAGTATGGTAAATAGCCATTAGATCTGAATGTGGATTATGTTAGCCACATCGATTTGAGAAATTAATTTAGCGAACGTACAGACGACCTGGGCAAATGTCTCTCATAAAATTTTCAATTGATAAATGCCTGTAAATAGTGCTTGCTTCGCTTTTTTCAAACTTGATCTATATCAAATATCGGCTTAGCCGATCACCGTTGCCTGAAAGTTTGAAGAAAGCATGACACACGGACTTAGTCAGTTAACCTAAATATTTTAAGCTAATCAAAGAGTATATACATAAGCAAAATGATAAATTCTCTCATTCTCATTTCTAAAAGAAAAATTTAATTATGTATGAAGCATATTTTCATGGATCTAATGCTGGCGCAAGTGACGATCATAAATCAAAGATTCGTTATTGGTATGAGAATTAAAATTTTTTATCATTCGCTTGGGAACATTTTCCATTAAAACTCGGTAAATGCCTGATATTTATTTTTGATTCCAAATGATTGAAAAGGTTGAAGAATCCCAAACTATTGTCTAAATGAAATCTGGGACGTTGACTGTATAATATGATGATAGAGAAAGCTATAATAGTGAATACTTTCGTTAGGGAAACAATGAAATAAAGAAAAATGCTTTAAGATAATTAAAACGTTTTTAACACAACTAATGGACCATTATGCCGGTTCGTACCAAAAAGAAAGGAAAAGCAAACCGATGCTTAATGGCCACATTCCTGAATATTGTATTGATTGATTGATTGATTGATTGATTGATTGTATGAGTATGTGTGTTTGTTTGTTTGTTTGTGTGTGACTTCTTTATATAGAAATGAAGCTAAAAGAACTAAAAAGACATTTTGAAGAATTTAAGAGAAAACAAAGTCTTAAACGATAATAATAATACACTTTGCTCAGGTCAAACAAAGAAATACTTGAAAGTGAGACTGAGCATCAGACAAATAATGCTATTGCGAATAAGTGATAAAACAATATATGAACAATTTTAATATAATATTCTATTAAAATTATGTAATTAATTTAAAATCGCATAATGGGCCGATCAATTAATGACTGAAAATACCACCAATATGCATTTGTTCTTAATTACTTAGCGTGCTTTGAATAACTAAAAAACAAAATGTATTTTATTTTAAAAGCCGAATCTTTAATACCCACTACTCTTCATATTTACAATTTATTTTGCTTTTTTTTTTTTTTTGTTGTATTTTTATCCAAACTATAAGATTTGACACTTTTGGGGTTTTTTTTTATTTTATTTTAATTTTTTAAAATCTTTTCTTTTTCTAACTTGTTAACGTTCTTGTGATTTTCAACCGGAAATCTTTTGCGTATGCATTTGTTTTTTCTCTTTTTTAATTTCTAGTTAGATTTGTCAGCTTGATTGACTTTAGTTCTCTACTTAAAGCATTTAAGTCAACATAGCCAAATTATCTTCATATGTTGTCTATTGTCTCCATTGTAGAGGGCTATATACGTGTTACGATCATTACAATAGAGGCTTACTGCTCTTCCATGGAGTATGTTGGGTATAAAAATTCGTTCGCTACGTTTTTAAATTTCTATCAAAGTTCAGTTATTTAGTTTTCAAAATTAGAAAGAAAAAAATAAATAAATAAAAAAACAAAACAAAAAAAAAGATTCTTTTAACTACTTTTCATTCATAATTGATTTTGTTAAAAATGTTGCTTGATTTTCTTGGTGATAAATTTTTCTTCCGCTTAAAGCAAAAACTATATAATGTGTAGGTAGATATTTAAATTAAAATGTATTTTTCCAGATTTTTATAATTCCTTTTAAAGTAAAACTTAATCGCACGACCCTAAAATACTAAAAAGATAAAGAGATTGATTGAAAAAAAAAACGTTTGCTTTCCTGTGCTTGCAGCTTCGGTTTGAAATGATTTTTGACTTGAGAGATTTAAAATTGTGATTCCTTAAGCATTCCATTATCCATTCTTCATCTGCTCACGTATGCATTTTTGTAACTCATTCGTTCAAAAACAATCCATATAATATTAATTTTAGTGTTGTTATTATCTTTGCAAACATTATATTGGTTGGTAGATTGGTGTATATGTGCATTTTGTTGACATTGTGTTGTAAATGTTTTTAATGTTAGATGTGTCTGGTTGTTTATCAATAACTGTTGCTTTTTTCCTCATTTGTGGTTGTTCTTCCTTTTTTTTTTTTGTTTTGTTTTTTTTTGTTTTTTTTTTTGTTTTTTGTTTTTAAATATTTTTATGTTCTTATTTGCTCTAATTTATGCTCCGTTCTGTTTTTTAGTAACCCTTGAGACGATCCGCCAGGGGCGGCTTGGGCACTTTCGGTTGCTTGGCGCGCGCTACACGCATACGTTCGGCGGCCTTAGCCAGACGTTTTTTTCGTTCCTCTGCCGTTTCACTGGCTCGTCTCAATCGCTGACGTGCCGCATTCTTCATCAGTCTTAGGGTTCTTTGTACATCGGTTTCGTTCTGGCGCCGTATACGATTGGCTTCGGCATTTTTCGCCAGACGTAGCCGGTACTCGGCCTCCGTTTCCTTGGCCCGCTTCTCACGCATTCTAGCCGCGTTACGCTCCAGCCTACGTTGACGTGCTTCCGGTGATTCGTTACTACGGCGACGTGCGGCTTTTTGGGCGCGTGTGGATTGACCGGTTCCAGTACTTAAGTGGTGATGCAGGGGATGTGTAGTCTGGCCGTTAGTTTGCTGTAAGTGCTGCTGTTGTATTTGCGCTTGCTGATGGAAAGTATTTTCCAAATTTAATGCAACGGCTGCCACTGAATTGGCTGAATTGTTATTATTGGACGAGGCTGATGAGTTGTTATTATTAACGTTACTGTTGTTGCTATTAGCTGAGGAAGCGGCCGCTGCGCTAACTGCTGCTGCAGCCGCTGTAACCGTATAATTATTATAGTCTATGAGTCCTCTATTATTCGGGTAGAGATGGTGCATGGGATTCTCATAGCTGAGGTATTCTGGCTTGATAAGGAAGGGATCGCGTGCGGACAGCGGTGCCGTAGGTGAGTTAAGGAAATACAAGCGGCTATGATGATCTGTCGTTATGCTCCCTCCGCCTCCCACTCCCGTGGACATCTGTGGTTATTTTGCGACTGTCCTATCAATCGCAGTTATTTGCCGTCGTCGCTGCCGCCGACGTTGTTGCCGTTTTCACACTTTTTCTTCTTCTTCCACTATTTATTCTCTACACTTGCACTTAATTTATTATAGTTCAAGATATTCGAAATGTAACAAAACGTAATAACAATTCAAAAACAGTTGAAATCAATATTTCAACTAAAGTTTTTCGAAACGATTTTAGCACAAAATTTATAACAAAAAACTTTGAGTAAACAATAAAAGCGACATAACTAATCAATATGGAAAAAATTTCCAACTTGAACTGGAAAATGGCAAAGCGCAAACGTCACTTCCACTGTAATTGCCATAATTGAAAACAGGGATGTTAATAACTGTCCAAAATTTCCACGAAAGCATAATTTTAAAATATCAAAAAACCAAAACAAAACAAAACAAAAAACTTTAAGAAATATAAATATTTCTAATTTTTGATTATCAAAAAAACTTCTTATATTTATATTTAATCACTTCGATTATAAAATATATATATTATTATTGCAAAATGCAACCGTGTGTTTCATCTAAAGACAACGTTTTCCAGTTGTCATATTTTTGTTTACATATGGCTAAGATGTTATAACTACACCTACTCGATACGTTTTGTTGCTGTACTCACTTTTTAATCCGCTTCTGGTGATGGTTGCTTATTGAGTTCCAATCACAATTTTGATCAAATTTCAGATAAATGCACAAAACTTATCAAATTAATCAATACGCACAAATTATTTTAATTAAAAGCTGTGAAATTTACTGCAGATTCTTCAATCCAAAACACAAAACAATGTGGAAAGATTGAAGTAAATTGTTGCCACTTTTTAATGTTTTATAGAATTCGTAGTTTATACTAGGGTAGTTTTGGTGAGCTTAAGCTCAAATAGGTGACTTTCAGAAATATAAGCGATATTAGATCCAAATTTATTTCTTTCAATATTGCTATCCCGGCACAGATCTAAAACGATTTTGTCCGATCAGATCAGTTCGTAAAATATGTGAGCTTGAAGACAGTGAATTGAAATAAATTACATTATATAAAAATTACATATAGCAGGGTCCTGACAAGATTTTAGCCATTTATGCTAATGTATATATATATGTATATATATATATATATATATATAAGCCTAACATGATGAGCATTTACTATATTTTATATATATCAAGCAGTCTTTTGCGGTATACAGTAAGAATGCTTATAGAAAGATATCACAATTCCATTCGTATGTATGAACATACCTGTTTTTACGTCGACGTTGTCCTAACCTTGCGCATTTGTTTGGCAGCGCGGAATTTCTCGTGGTATTCTTTTAATTTGATAATTACTAGTAAATAAAGAGCTTGAAGAATTATCCAGTTAGTGATTTATTTTGCAACATTTAGTAACGTGTATTGTGGATATATATATTTATGCATATTCTTAGTCAAATTAATGTTATGGGTCTGTCAAGTTGTCTATTTAACTGTTTATATTTATTTTGAGAATTTAAAAACATGCAAAAATTAAAATGGAGAACTGGAAAATCGTTCACATGGTGTTAGTCAAATTGCGCGAATAATCATATATAATATCACTCAGTTTCTCGTTTCCGCTTTGACTGCATCAACCCATGAAATGATACGTATTAAAATTTCTTGACATTCGGATAATTTGTGTACAGACTACAGTGAAGTCTGCCGGGATCGAAGACTTATTGAGTATTTTGATATCACAAATGTGGCCAAAATAAGAAAAATTAAATAACTAAGGAATATCGAAAATTTCATTTGATGATAACGTAATAATAAGCGATAACGTAGTAATAAGCGTTCATAATTTTTATCGAGTCCTTAATCGTACAACACACTGGAAGGTTATGTTCTACTTTTAGATTTTCAAACACGCCAACATTTTTTTTCGAGAAGATCTGTAGTTCCATATCAAAATGATATTTGGTTAATTGCTTCTATCGTGGATGAGCTTGCAAACTGCAGTGTAATCGGATCTCAATAGAGAAAGTAAACGAATTACTACGAGGGCAATATTTTTTGAAAATAGACACCGTTTACTACTAGATCCAGACAACAATAAAAGATATACTTCATTAAAATAATCTAAAGGGAAGATAGCGAGTTTAGTTTGTTTAGTTCTCATTAGAATTGTCTCTCTTAAATTATATTTTTTCATATCCAGTAACGAAGGATTATGTTATAGAAGATTTCTATTTCAGATCAGGGCTCCTAAAAACAAAAATTAAAGGCATCGCATAGTAGTAAGATTCGATTTGTCGTGGAACATCGACACTCGCGCAACTTAATACAAAAAACTAAAACTTTATATAAAGATATGTAAGTGGTTTATTAAAAACCGTATATATAGTAAAAACAGCAAAAATTCCAACTTCGTATACGTATGAAGCCGGACATATGCCTTTAATAACACAAAGTATATTCTGTTGTAATCATAGGCTTACATATTGGAATAAGTAGATTTTGAAAAGTTCAGCAGAACGATTAAGGTAATAGATATCAAGGATAAATTTTGAACATTATTTTGAAGATTATTAACTTTTTCATTTATTTAATATTGTAACCTTTAATTTAACTGTTAGTTTTTGCGACGAACTTTTAAAAAATATAAGAAAAAATGATTTAAAATATCGTATGTTATTTTGTACATCATCATGGCCTATCGCATTCCACCCGACAAGATAAAAGATATATGAAATTTTATTTGAAGAATTCTTTGAGCTTTGACGAATATCAAATCGGAACTTAACTTCTTGAATATTTTGTAAATAAAAGAACAAAAAAAAAAGAAAAGAGAAGAAATTTAATAAACTTTGAAAGAGAATTATCTCATGATATTTGTAAGAGATCTGGCATCATCACGATAAAGTAGAGAATTTAACATGTGCTTCAAATTTAAGCAACCACCTGTATAGCTTATGTTGGTACATTATCACTTGTATGGGAAGAAGGGAGCAAAGTAATTTTTATGCTTTTAGTATTGCGGGTAAACGCGCTTTAAACGCGCAATAAACGAAATGAATTAGGTGTTAAATATTTTTTTTATTTTATTTATATTCAAATATGAAGAATATTATGTGAGAAATATATTTATGTGAGTATTCCGTGAGAATTTCAATTCTTTCAAACTTTTTAACGTCTAAAAGCAGATAGCATAACGACAAAATAAGAAATATTTGTAAATCAATTAGAGTGTTTGCATTTGTATGCATGCATGCGTGATTGGTGTGTATGTGTGTGTTTGTGTGCGCGTGTATGCTACTAAGAGAATATTGAATATGTGTTTGTTTCACAAATGCGAACTTACAAGAGATAAATGACATTTGTTAATACACGCATACAATTTGCAACTGATACCTTACATTAGAATCAAGAACTAAATGTAATAGGATTAATAAGAGAGTATTAATCGAAAGAGAGTAAGTTAGTGAGCGAATGAGTATTCATTCTCTCTTTGTAAGATTTAAGCAACGAGAGCACACATTTCTATATTAATAATAACAACAATAACTGTAAAGGTATGAAATAAGACGGTTATAAAAAATATCCATTCAAAAATATTTTGAGATTATTATGAAAGAGAAGAAAAACAAAAAAAAAAAAAAAAAAAAAAAAAATGTAATTTTCACACAAATCGCTTTATACGTACATATTTACTTTATATTAGAGATATACGATATTACATTCAATTAATAGATGTGTGTGCCTATTTATGTATTTGTAGTTTATTCACATTAAATTTTTGTGCGAGTGAACGTTGATTGTGTTTATGAATTTACTAAATAAATATGAAATTATTGAGTGCTGATGTGATTGTATGTCTATTTACCTTAATTTATGGTTACTGTTATTGATTTTGTTGCTTTTATTGTTTTTTATATTCCAAAGAGAAAATGCTAATAATATATATAAATTTTTTTCTTTTTCTACATTTTAATATATATATATATATGGGTGCAAAGTAATTAATATTCTATTGTTGTTACTTAATTTTCATGAGTTTCCTTAATTAATTATTAATTCCTTATAATAACCAAGAAAAACAATTGAAAAAGTTATATTAGCAAACAAGGCAATGCATAAATGCGCAAATAAATTTATTTTCTCAATGGCGTTTTCCGGTAAAAACTTAAAATTTAGTATGATTCGCTTTGGATGGTTACGAATCTTTACAAATGATTACTCTTCAAATAAAAATTGCGAACTGTTTTCTTAATTTAAAGCACTTCAATTGCTTGATTAGGGTCATGTTTCTATTAAATTCTTAAGCGGATCTAAGAGATGTTTATATCAAAATTGATTCGCTGAAGATGATAAGTGATAGGTTTCTTTCTTTTTTTTTTTATTTTTGGGCAGATCATAACTAAGTATTTGCAAATCGTGATCTGTGTAGCGTGGGCCACTCAACGAATATTGTGAATGCGATAAGTTGCTGATAAGCATTTTGTAAATGTTCCTACAATAGATTGGCAGACAGGGTCAGCATGTTATTTTGTGAAGGATATATATATATATATATATATATATATTTGACCGAATATGCATCCCCTACTTGTAGAAATAAAAAATTCTTAAGGAGACACAAATTGGGTGGTGGATATGGTCGGATTTCAGTTTTCTTTTTTTATTGTTTTTGCTTTTGTAAAAACTTCGTATATTATGTATTTATTCTCGACACTTCTTACGGTTTAGGGTGTATAAACTTTATGTGAACGTATCTAACACGCAGAAGGGCTTAAGATTGACCTACCCTTTTATTATATCGATATTCAAAATTATTTTCTGATTAGATTTAAGCCTGTTTATCCGGCCCTCTCATGTCCGTCCATATAAATTTTGTATTTCAGTTAAGTTCGTAATTTTCAAAACGAACACTATTTGCATTTTAGCTAAGTTCGTAATTTTTAAGATGAATACTATTGAAAATGGTTCGAGTCGGTCCATTTTTTCGATCACTCCCCCTATAACGCATTACTTTGGAAAGTCATTATCTGGAAAGTAATTGCAATTATTAAATTTTTTTTTAACAAAACTCGCTCTGTAATAGTATTTTGGGCAAAGTTCTTTCGTACGGTTGGGGCAATTTTTTGAATCCTCTCTCAAATAACCGAAAACTGAATCCTTTATATAGTAGAAAGGTAATTGATATAGAAATCAATATTACCGAATTTGGAGCACGTAGGATCTATTGGATACCATCGCATATAAGGATTCCTTTCTATAATCGGGCTTTAATGAAAAATATGCCTTTGCATGAAAAAAATGTGGAACTTTTGATAAGTTATTGGCAAAATGAGTGAATAATTAACTGTATTAGGCCAAGTGATGTAGGGTAGGCTTGCAGGGTTTGTCTTGGCCGATTATAATGTTTTTCAATTTTTCAATTAGTTTAATATTAAATTAAATAAAAAGATTTCTTTTAGTTGCTCTTCATTCATCAAAACTCGTTAACGATAATTGACTTGCGAAAAGGATTTCTTCATTCTTTTCATGGCCGCTTTTCAGTGCATTTAAAGTGCGTTTTTATAATATATATTTCTAAAGTAAAAATACTGTAGATTCTTACGATGGTCAAGACCAGCACAAGAATAAAATATAATTAAAATAATATGTTATTTCTTTTATCCTCTACAAGTCGTTTCGTGTAAGAATAAATCGAATTTCACGACAAAAATCGCTTACCAATCATATTTCGGCATTCTAGATTAATATAAAACCATTGGCTCGGATGAAGTAATTCTTTGAA